TGGGATCCTCTCAAGAAACAGAGCCAATAGGATGTGTGTGGATAGAGAAACTTATTATAAGGGCTTGGCTCATGTGGTTATAGAGGTTGGCAAGCCTAAAATCTGCAGGATAGGCTGGCGGGTCGGAGACCCCGGGAAGAGCTGAGGGTGCAGTTCCCACTCGAAGACCGACTGCTGCGGATTCCTTCTTGCTCCAGGGACCTCATTCTTTTATTCCAGTGAGGCCTTTAACTCACTGAATGAGGCCCATGCCACCGCTACTATAGAGGGCAAGGGGCTTTACCAAAAGTCCACCAATTTAAATGTTAATCACAATCGCATCCAAAAACATCCTCACGAACGTGACCAAATGTTAACACCGTGGCCCAGCGAAGCTGACCCATATCCTCAAGAGATGTGGTGGATAACGGGAGGGCCGGAGGGGAAAGGGTTTTGTTTCATTTTTGATGCAGATGCACCAATGCTCCAGAAGCTCCCTCCGTACCCTTCAGTTCCAAGGCCCTGATGGCTCCATAAGGAACAACGAACAGTGACCTGTTTCAGTGCCGTCTAAACCGACAAAGATGGCTTGTAACATGATTTTTAAAGCCATATTTGCAACCACACCCAACACTTGCAATTACGACCACCCCTGGTATGTGAGCTTGAGAACACACTGCCAGGAGAGCTGAACTGTTCTTTATAATAAAGGGAGAGGAATTTGAAGGTGAGTATCAGGTCAGGTTCCTGGGGGACCAGGAAGGAGACAGGGAGAGGAAGGAGGCAGCAGACACTCTCTTTCTGAAAAGGCTCTGGAATGTAAATCTCTCCTCTTTCTTCCAAACAAAATATCCTGTCGCAGAGACAGGGTGGATTATTTAGAGGGGCCCTCAAAGAGAGCTGAATTTCACAACCGGATCAGACTTGTAACTTGGAGATAGCACATGGGAAAACTATTATTTTTCTCCACTTTGTGTGTGTGTGTGTGTGTGTGTGTGTGTGTGTGTGTGTGTGTGTGGTGTTAGAAACACGTTTCACTATCTTTGCCAGGCTGATCTTGAACTTCTGAGCTCAGGCAGTCCTCCTGCCTTGGCCTCCCAAAGTGCTAGGATTACAGGCATGAGCCACTGCGCCAGGCCTCATATTTTAAAATTTAATTTACATAAATAAAAACTTGCTGTTTTCAGTGGGCAGTTCTGCAGATTTTGACAGGTAGGTACAATTACATAATCACCACCACAGTCAAGATACAGAACAGTTCCATGCCCCGAAAATTCTCACATCTTCATTTTATTTTTTTATTTTTAATTGACAATAATGATATATATTCATGGGATACATGGTGATATTTTGAAACATTTAATGTATGGTGATCTTATCAGGGTAATTAGCATATCCATCATCTCAAACATCTGTCATTGATTGTTTTCTTTTTTGAGACAGTCTCACTCTGTTGCCTCGGCTGAGTGCAGTGGCGCAATCTCAGGTCACCGCAGCCTCCGCCCCCCCAGGTTCAAGTGATTTTCCTGCCTCAGCCTTCCAGGTAGCTGGGATTTTAGGTGCCTGCCACTGCGCCCGGCTAATTGTTGTATTTTTAGTAGAAACACAGTTTCACCATCTTGGCCAGGCTAGTCTTGAACTCCTGACCTTGTGATCTACCCACCTCAGCCTCCCAAAGTGCAGGTGTGAGCCACTGTGCCCAGCCAACATCTCTCATTTCTTTGTGTTGGGAACGTTCAGTTTCCTTCTGGCTACTTGAAACTATATGATATTGTTAACTCTAGTCATGCCACAGTGCTATAGAACACTAGAACTTACCCTTTCATCTAGCCGTAATTCTGCATCCTATCTGCCCCCCTTCCCCGACTCTTCCCATCCTCTAATTGTCCTCTGTTCTACTTTCCCCACATCCTCATTTAAAAAAACAAAATACTGATTGGAGACCTGAAAGCATCCTTAGTCAGTGGTAGTTTTGGATGCTCACAGCAGTTATCTGACAAAATTGTTTAAAAAGGGGTGGGGTAGACAACATATATTTACTAATGACACCTGCAGTGTGGCACCGTATTGGCACATGCTAGATGTATGCAAGTTGTAAATGCCTTCAGCATTCATTTTACTGGCTGAGGATGGTGACTCATGTCTGTAATCCCAACACGTTAGGAGGCCAATGCAGGAGGACTACTTAAGGCCAAGAATTAAAGATCAGCCTGGGCAACATAGCAAGACTCTGTCTCTACAAGAAAAAAAAAAAAAAACAAAACAAAACCCAGGTGTAGTGGAGTGCACCTGTAGTCCCAGCTACTCTGGAGGCTAAGATGGGAGGATCATTTGAGCCCAGGAGTTAGAGGTTGCAGTGAGCTGTGATCACACCACTGCACTCCAGCCTCAGTGACAGAGCAAGACACCCTCTCTTAAAAAAAAAAAAGAAAATCACTTTACAAGCAATATTTATTGGTTGAAACAGTAGCGTAAGAAGCTTTCTCCAGCCTGTTCTAAGCCAAAGCAAAAAAAAAAAAAAAAAAAAAAAAAAAAAAAAAAAATTTAATTTTTTTAAGTTGGGGAAAGTCATAGTCACACTCAGAACAGGATAAACATCTTCATAGATGTTTATGAACACATGGGTTTATGAACCATGGGTCGGAGTGAATGTGACCTCAGTGGCCTTCTGTGCTCCTATAGGACAGCCAGCGGTGCAGCTGGAAACTCACGGCCCTCAGTCATGAGGTGGGTGCAGAGTTAGAGAATGTTGATTCAGCCCTGCCACCTGCCTGGAGCCTCCAGGCCTGGGTAAGCACGTGGGCCACAAACGGGTGTGTCTGGCTTCTTCCACGTGACACGTGATGTGTCTGTGAGGTCCACCCACAGTGCAACACGCTGTCAGTTCCAGCAGGCTATCAGTTCTTCATTCCTTTTTATGGCAGTAGAATGCTCCAGCATATGGATATAGGCTCTCCTGACTTTTTACAATGAAATATTTAAGACACACAAAAAGATCCACGAAGTAATAGAATGACTAGCATGGAAGGAGTCCACAGCTTAGGGAGTAAAGCCTATTTGTCAATTACTCTATGCCTGTGGGAAACACAGCCTTGAAATCGTGTTGATAGAGTTTCAGGAGAAAGCAGAAGTAGATGGGTGGGTTTGAGCTGCCCTCTTCACTCGGAAGTCCGAGTTTGACCTTGTCAAACTCTAGTGATGCAGAACCTTGCCAAAAGTAACACTAAGTAAAAATAAAATAAGCTCAAACTTAGAAGCTCAGATTTAGGTTGCGGCCCACCTCTGCTTTCTCTTCTGGTTTGCATTTCATTCACTACTTCTTTCTGTAAATAACATAGTGCCCCTGCTATTGCCAGGCCTGTTCTAGGTGCGGAAGATATAGCAGCAAGCAAACCAGACTAGAGGTCTATACTGGTGGAACTCACGTTCAAGGTCGGCAGACAGTAAAACAAGATACATATGAAAAATAAGCCATTTTATGTTATCTGCATGTTAAGTCAAGGATCCTCGCAGATCCGCAGGCAGAGGGGGAGCAGGTATCTCACAGACACGTGTTAGAAACGTGGGACCCACCCCGGACCAAGTGAATTCACATCTGTGTTGTAGCAAGGTCCCCAGGTGATTCACAAACGCATTCAGGGACTATGGGGTGGGGGGGGGAGGAAGACAGTGAAGGAGCTGAGGAGGGAGTGTAAATTGCAGGGGCTGGGGGTGCTGTGATTTTAAAACCAGTTGCCAGGGAACAGGGAAGGCCTGGTTTGGAAGGAGGCCCTGGCATAAGAGCTAAAGGGGGTTGGGGAGCGAAGCTCTGCAGGTATCCGGGAGAAGCCACAGCGGCAAATGGGAAGACCCCGGGGCCTCGAGGAAAGGGCCTGCCATACTGAGAGGCAGGAGCAGAGGCAGCTAGGGGCAGCGTGGTCGCGGGTGCAGCCGACTCATTTTTACTTCGCCTGCAGTCGGTGTTTGGGGTGTGTCCTGTGGCGCCATCCCTAAGCGCTGGAACGCGCGGCCCTGCAAGGCAGCGAGGCCCGGGAATGCACCGACCTGCGCGCTCCCAGCGCCGTTGGTCTCGGGTTCCTGCCATGGTAGCTCCCAAAGCTTTTCTATCTTGGACTTTAAAAAAAAAAAAAAATGCAAATTCCCCTTTTATGGGCCAGGAGTGTAGCAGAAGGCTCAGGTCCAAGGGCACCCTTTGGATTTAGTCCTTTCTGTTGGCTCCCGCAGTCAAAACATCTTTCCCTTAAACTCTGCCTGCGCTCGAGCCGTCTGCTTGCACCATGGACCCGGCACAGAAGAGTCCAGGCCGGTGCACCCAGTGAACGCCCACGTGCTCACCCTGCCCTCGGCCTTGCCGGGGAGGACGCTCCGAGTGTGACCCTGGCGAGTCACTGCGTCTCCCCACGCGCGCTGCTCCCTCTGCGAAAGTGGGGAATATCAGCTGCCCGGCTGGGTGGTTCTGACCCGAGTGGGTCCACTTCTAGGGAAGCTGCTGTGGCCAGAAAGCGCTGCCGGCCTCGGCTAAACCACGGCTGTGCGGACCACCCTCGCCCCGCGCCCCGATCTTCGGGTTGCTTCTGTACACGGACTTGTGAGGTTGCTGCGCCCTGGGGTCTGGATTGCGCGCCCGCAGCGGCCCCCGGGCGGTGACCGCAGACCCGGGACTCGGCGGAGCGTCTCCGGCCACAGGATTCCCGGGGGAAGCAGCCCGGAGCGGAAGAGAGGAGCGATTGGCTGGGAGGGAGGTGGGGCGAGCGGTTACGCCGGCGCCGGGAGACTGCAGGGCAGAGACGAGGGGGCGGGCGGAGAGGCGAGGACATCGAGGTGGGTGCTGAGGAGCTGGAGGACCGAGCCGAGCGGGAGTGGGGGAGGAGAGGAGGGAGGGGCGGAGGAGCGAGGAAGAGGAAACTGGGAAGGGGTGACCCGAAAGGGGAGGCGGGGTTGAGGGGACCTGGGCGGGTTGGAGACAGGGCGGGTGGGGAACGGGGAGTGGGGTTGGAAGGAAGAGTAAAGGGGCAGAGGGGACCGCTGGGGAGGGGAGAGGAAGGAAATTAGGGTGGAGTGAGCGAAGAGGAGACGAGGGACTGGGTGTGGAGAGAAAAAGGGGCTGGGCGGGGAGGAAGAGAAGAGGGAGAAGCGGAGTGGGCCGAGCAGGCGGGGCGAGCGCGGGGCGCCTCCCCGCAGCCGGGCACTGGCCTGGGGTCCTCCCCTCCCCCTGGGCCAACGTCCCTGGGGCGTGATTAGCAGCTCCTTGGGGAAAAGGGCGGGGCCTGAGCTCGGGGCGCAGGGGTCCGGGTGGGGCGGCGACCCGCGGCGCAGTGCGAGGCCGCGGCTCTGGCGCGAGGCCCCGAGGTTTGCCCAGGAGGGCTCTGGTCGCACCGCGTTTCTGGGCCTTTAGGTTCCTCCTCGCCTCTGCTCTCCGCCGTCGCCCTGCCCTCCCTCGGCGCGTCAGAGCCGGGTCCCGGGCGCCCAGGGGCGGGGCGGGGACACTCAGGGACGCCCCAGCGAGGACCTCCTGGGTGCGATCTCGGGCGCACGAGATGTGGAGCTGCAGTGACGAAACGGTCACCCGAAGGACCCTGGACAGGGTCAGCGGGTCAGCTGTAGGGGGTCCTGGGAGAGGGTCTGACCGCGGGCCACCTGAGCGTCAGCGCGGGGGAGGCGTGGGCCTGGAAAGATGATGGAGATCTGGCCGGTGGAGACGTGAGTGCCCCTGAAAGGGAGGCCCAGGTGGTGGAAGAGGACCTGAAGGATGGGAGGGAGCGTGAAGGCCTCAGGCCACGCCAGCGGGCAGCACCCCTGCGGCCTACCAGTGGCAGGTGCGAGGCCACCCCAGCCCTCACCTATGTGTGACATCGAGGTAATCTTTCTGCGTCTTGGCTTGTCCACATCTGCTAGTGGGGCAGTATCGGAGGGTGGTGAACATGTATAACATATGGGAAGCTGTGTAGTGCCCTTCCCAGCCTGGCTGCTTCCTGAACTAGTCCCTTTCCCTCCTGGAAGAAGGAAGTCAACCCAGAGACTTCTCACTGCTGGGCACCGTCCTAGCACAGGTAAGCACCAAATGGAATAAAACAGAAGACGCATGTCAGAGTCCAACAGAACAGGTGCCTGGCCTAGCTGGCCTCGGTTTGGGACATGAATAAGAATCCCCTTACAAATTACTTCTGCCTCAAGACTTAAGGCCTCAACTTGTTGATTCTTTGCTAGGGATTCTTATCACAGTGGAAAGAATTTACTGCCATTGATTGCGTCCGAATGAAGAGACACACACAAAGATGCACGTTTCATGGGAGTGTTTCTCTCATAAGCAGAGAGAACTCTTCTCGGCCAGAATTCCTTGACTTGCCAGTCTGTGTGCGATTCAGGACTACAGATTCTTTTTTGAGACGGAGTTTCACTCTTGTTGCCCAGGCTGGAGTGCAATGGCGAGATCTCGGCTCTTTGCAACCTCCAAAACATAATAGGGTCAGAGAGGCGGGATCCACAGCAGAGCTGTGGGTAGAACCGCTGGCACCAGGCAGGTCCCTCCTCCAAGATACAGCATAGAGGGTGACGTGCCTGAAGGCACACAGGCTCCGGGTTAGGCTTTGTGGGATTCTGACCTCACTGAGTCATTGTTGAGAATGCCCTGGTAAGTTAGATCATGACTCAGTTTCTCCATAGGAAAACTGGGAGTAAAGATACTGGCTGTTTAACTTCCCTGAGGGTAGGTGCCGTTTTAAAGTAGCTTCTTCAAGTTGAGGCAGTTGGTTGGTGGGTGTGACTGTCATTTCTGTGGGATGGAGGAGGTGCAGCCTCCAGGTGAGATCAGTGCCATCGCATGGCTGAAGTGACATGGGAAGGCCAGGAGGCAGCCTGGCAGGAAGGGTGGCATCCTCCAAAGGGAGTGAAGACGGAAACTGGAGGGATGTGGCCGACCCTTCGTAGAGAGACTTCATGACACTGGCATTCCCCGGGGCAGTGTGTGGCTCTGTGCAAGTCCCAGACACTGGCCGGGGCAGGTGAAGCCGCCCTCGATGCCGTATGTGGAACTGGATTTAATTGGTGGGATAATCATTGCTGAGCCACAGTGTCACGGCAAATGCAAACAAGCGTGCGTCTTCTTTCCTGGTGAGTGCAATAGTCAGCCAAGCCCTTCTGGACCAGCCCAGCCTTGTTTCCTAACTGGGTGGGCCCTGCTTTGATGACGGGTGCATTCCTAGAGGTACTGTCTTCCTGAAGAGCTTTACATAATGCAATGGGAGAAGAAGGCTTTGATGGCGTGGGCGCTTAAGGTCCTTGAAACCCCAACGAACTCTCAGGGCAGCCTGGAGTGAATTCAGTGGCTCGGAAGCCCCTTCCTCATCTGTTCGGGCTGGTGTGTTTGCCACCCTTGGAACCTCTCCTAGCGTTCCCGCTGTCTGTCTCCTCAGCAAGCTCATTTGTGTCCTTATACCTACACTAGGGGGCCCTAAAAATAATCTCTCTCATCTCAGTCAATCTTTCTCATCCTCAAGACGTCATTCAAGCCTCACCTCCATCTTCCATCTACCCCAGTAGCTCCAGGATTTTTCTCTGAGCTCCTCGTATTCAGAGTGTCACTGATCTTGAGTTGCCTGCCATTTTTAGATTATGAGTCTTTTTTTGGTCCTTTTTCAGGTGGGGGGTGGGGTGGGGTTCTGTTGACCATGCTAGAGTGCAGTGGCATAATCATATCGAACTGCAGCTTCAAACTCCTGAGTCCCAGTCATCCTCCTCCCTCAGCCCCCCACCCAATAGCTGAGACTACACCACCATGCGCAGCTAATTTAAAAAAAAAAAATTTTTTTTTTAGAGATGGGGTCTCACCATGTTGCCCAGGCTGGTCTCGAACTTTCGGCTTCAAGTCATCCTCCCGCCTTGGCCTCCCAAAGCACTGAGATTACAGACATGAACCACCAAGCTCGGTGGTTTTTGAGTCTTAACTTTTCTTCTGGAACCTAGGTTTCCTGATGGCAGATGTGCTATGAGATATATTGTTTACTGCCAAATCCAAAACCATGTGGAAGCTATTTCAGCATCCTGTTCGATACTTAGAGATTGTTACTTCTGGTAATAATGCATGAAGAGCTGTGTTTAGATGTGTAATGAAAACACATGTGATAGCCAGGCATGGTGGCTCATACCTGTAATTCCAACACTTTGGGAGGCCAAGAGGAGAGGATTGTTTGAGGCCAGGAGTTTGAGACCACCTAGGGCAGGCGTCCCCAAACTTTTTACACAGGGGGCCAGTTCACTGTCCCTCAGACCGTTGGAGGGCCGCCACATACTGTGCTCCTCTCACTGACCACCAATGAAAGAGGTGCCCCTTCCTGAAGTTCGGTGGGGGCCGGATAAATGGCCTCAGGGGGGGCCGCATGCAGGCCGCAGGCCATAGTTTGGGGACGCCTGACCCAGGGTAACAAAGCAAGATCCTGTATCTACAAAACATTTTTTTAAATTAGCCAAGTAAGGTGGTGTGCGCCTGTAGTTTGACTGCTGGGGAGGCTGAGATAGGAGGATCGCTTGAGCCCAGCAGTTGGAGGCTGCAGTGAGCCATGATTGCACCAGTGCACTCCTGCTAGATGACAGAGGGAGCCCCTAACTCAAAACAAAGCAAAACAAAACCAAACACGGGGGAAAAACTTCCCACACACGTCATGATTTTCTCTTTACTCTCAACTCCTCTCGGTACTTCACTTCTGACACCAGATGTGTGAATTTTTTGCCCGTGTTGACCAATTTTCCAGCCCCAGCTGGAAGCCCTGAAATTCAATCCAATTCTGACACTACCTGGAGTTGGCACAGCCCCTACCGGTTGAAGCCTGATGGGGCTGCCATTAGACTGCCCCAACTTCAGACACCAGTCGCAAGTCCTCACTGTCACCTGTGCTTCTGATGGGCCAGCTACAAATCAGAGGTTCCCATGACCCCAGCCTCAGATTCTGTCATTTCTGGAACGGCTCACAGAACTCAGAGAAACACCTTATTAGGTTTACCTGTTTATTATAAAGGGGACGGCTCAGAAACAGATGAAGGGAAGAGAGCACAGGGCAAGAGACGGGGAAGGGCATGAAGCCCCCACAGCCCTCACAGGTCCGCCGCCCTCCCAGCACTTCCATGTGCTCAGCAACTCCGAACTCCGCAACCGCACCTTTTTGGTGAGGCTTCATGATGCAGGTATGACTGATGAAATCATTGGCCATCGGCCTTTCAACTCAGTCTCCAGCTCCTCAGTCTCCTCCAGCCTCCCCAGCGGGTGGGAACTGGGGGGGCAGTTCTGAACGTTCCCATCCTCTCATCACACACCTGGTTCCCCTGGCAACCAGCACCCCCATCCTCCAAGAGCCCCCCATCAGCAGAAACTCAGGTTGAAAGGGGCTTGTTATGAATCACTTAGGAAATTCCAAACATCTTACAAGCTCTGTGCCCAAAACAGGGTTGAAGACCAAGTGTGTATCTCTTATTACAAATCATAATACCGTATCACAAACTGGTTAATTGACACTCTTCAGGATGAACAACAACAAAAACTTTCTCCCTCATCCAAATACCTAAGAAACAAAAAGCTGACTCTCCGATGCGACTGAGGTCAGCCCTTCTCTCTCCTCTGCAGCCTGGCCCCTCTGTCCTTGGCCTGTCTTATGGGAAGGGACCAACTCTGTCCAGCATACCTTGCAGACACAATGCAGCTATTTCCAGGGTCACTCTGGAGGAGTTCAAGGAGCTGCAACACCACACAGTTCCAGGAATTTCTCTCTTTCTGGCTCAGGAAGCCAAGGGAACGATACCCTCAGTTTCAGTGACTGGGGTGGCATGTGAACTTCAGGGGTTTCCCCGGGTGAAAATACAAATCAACATGTATTGAACTGGACATGCGGTGTGGGGGCAGGGGGGCTCATACCTGCAATCCCAGCACCCCACTCTAGATGTCCCATGTGAACACCTACCTTTTTAGGCTTCACAGATGACTTTAGGACTAAGTTGTTCAGGAAGGGAAGAGGAAGAGCAGCATATGACAGCTAAAGTCTCAGTTTCCTTACTGTAATGTCATCATGATTCCTGCATAATATGGTTGCCATGAGAACTGTGTGAGATAATGTACGGAAAGTGCGTCTGCACGTGGTGATCCTGCAGTGTCACTGCCATCACCATTAGGATACCTGTGTTGTCTTTATTTATTTATTTTTAGTAAAGATGAGGTCTTGCTGTGTTGCCCGGGCTTGTCTTAAACTCCAGAGCTCAGGAGATCCTTTCACCTCGGCCCTGCAGAGTGCTGGGTGAGCCACGTGGTCAGCCCAACACCTGCATTTTTACTGTGTCATTTGGCAGAAATACATCAGAGACCCAGGGACCAGAGTAACCCAGGAAGAGTGGGTGAGAGTGGTAGATATATCAAGATGGGAGGCTAGGCTGGGTGCGGTGGCTCACGCCTGTAATCCCAGCACTTTGGGAGGCTGAGGTGGGTGGATCCTCTGAGGTCAGGAGTTGGGGACCAGCCTGGCCAACATGGTGAAACCCCATCTCTGCTAAAAATACAAAAAAAAAAAAAAAAAGGTGGGTGTGAGTGGTGCATGCCTGTAATCACAGCTAATAGAGAGACTGAGGCATGAGAATCGCTTGAATCCAGGAGGCTGGGGTTGCAGTGAGCTGAGATACTTTGGCCTGGGTGACAGGGTAAGACTCTACCTTAAAAAAAAAGGAGGGGAGACTAATGCCTCTTTAAGAGATGAAGACAATCATCATTATATCGGCTACATTAAAATATGTAAGTATAGAGAAGCAACGAGAAGGAAACACTAATATGTTAACACTGATCATCTCTTTCAGTGGGATTATGTGACTTTAAAAAATTATGTGTTTCCTAGAATTTATGAAATGAATATTTATTATTCAAATTTAGGGAAAAAAATGTTTGTTTTAGAAGGACCCTGGTTAAATTTAGTATAACTCATTGAAAACTACTCTGAGCCTCAGCAGTTGGTGGTTCCTTTTTCTGCTGCCTTTATTCAAACCCCGGCTCTGCCTTTTACCAACTGGGGTGATCAGGGACAAGTTAATTAACTTCTTTGTGCCTTTGTTTTTTGTTTTATAAAATTGCGGCTTACAGTGCCTAATTCAGGCTAATTTGGCAATTAAATAAGATACTGTTTATGAAGTACCTGGCACACATAAGTACACAAAAATGTTAGCTACACCTGGTGCAGTGGGTCACACCTGTAATCTCAGCACTTTGGGAGGCCGAGGTGGATGGATCATTGGAGGTCAGGAGTTTGGGACCAGACTGGCCAACATGGTGAAACCCTGTCTCTACTAAAAATACAAAAAATTAGCCAGGCGTGGTGGTGCATGCCTGCAGACTCAGCTACTTTGGAGGCTGAGGCAGTAGAGAGGTGGAGATTGTGGTGAGCTGAGATCGAACCACTGCCCTCCAGCCTAAGCAACAAAGTGAGATGCCATTTCAAGGAAAAAAAAAAAAAAAAAAAAAAGGCCAGGCTAGGTTGCTCACGCCTATAATTTCAGCACTTTGGGAGGCCGTGGCAAGCGGATCAGCTGAGGTTAGAAGTTTGAGAACAGCCTGACCAACATGGAGAAAACTAGTCTCTACTAAAAATAAAAAAGTTAGCTGGGTGTGGTGGCACATGCCTGTAGTCCCAGCTACTCGGGAGGCTGAGGCAGGAGAATCGCTTAAACTGGGGAGGTGGAGGTTGCGGAGGATCTGGGCAATGAGCTGAGATTTCGCCATTGCACTCCAGCCTGGGCAAAAAGAGGAAAACTGTATCTCAAAAAAAAAAAAAAAGAAAAGAAAAAGAAATGTTAGCTACAATAGTACTGATTTTGGATGGGAGGGTCTGGAATGTAGTTAGTGTCCGGACCTTCCTCAGCTTTCTCAGAGGAAGAATTCCTCCTCTCTGAGTGGCCTCAGCTATGCCTCCTACTTGATTACTATCCTGCTATTCACCCAAAGATTGCAGGCAGCTGGGCCTCCCGTGAGACAACAATCTGAGGCAAGGGCAACACCCTGGGCACAGGGAGTGTTTGTTTCCTAACTTGTTGACTGGGATCCAGAGAGATCAGTTTCTTAGTTGACTCAGCCTCTTTGCAGTAGAAGACCATGACTGGCAGGCACAGGGCAAATGATACAGCTCTGTGTCTGAGTTCGTATCCAGTATGGGATTCGTCCTTTAATTTCACTCATTCATTTGGTTGTTAAATTCACACACGTGTATTAGGTGCCTGCTATATGTCAGGCACTGCTGTAGACAATGAGAGAGAATCAAGTAAAATGCAATGAATTAAAAATTAATTAATAAGGGTCTTGAACAAATATTTGTACACTTATGTTCATAGCAACGTTATTCATAATACCTGAAAGGCAGAAGCAGCCCAAATGTCCCTGGACAAATATATTAATAAACAAAATGTGACCTAGACATACAATAATATAGTATTTAGCCCAACAAAGAAAGGAAATTCTAGCCAGCTTCAGTGCCCCATGCCTGTAATCCCAGAACTTTGGGAGGCTGAGGCAGGGAATCGATTGAGGCCAGGAGTTTGAAACCAGCCTGGTCAACATAGCTGGACCCTGGCTCTACAAAAGGAAAAAAAAAAATTAACCAGGCGTGGTAGCGTGCATCTGTAGTCCCAGCAACTCGAGAGGCTTAAGTGGGAGGATTGCTTGAGCCCAGGAGTTCAAGGCTACAGTAAGCCATGATTGCACTCAGGCCTGGATGACAGAGCAACACTGTCTCAAAATAAATAAATAAAGCAGATAACAATAGATTAAAAAGAGAGGAAATTCTAACGCATGCTGCTTAGAACACGGAGAAACCTTGAAGACATTATGTTGGGTGAAGTCAGCCAGTCACAAAAAGACAAATAACTGTGAAATTCCACTTACAGGAAGTGCCTAGAGGAGTCAAACTTATAAAGACAGAAAGTAGAAAAGGTGGTTAGCAGTAGCAGCGGGGAAGGAGTGGAGAATTACTGCTTAATGTTTACAGAGCTTCAGTTTGGGAAGATGCTAAAAGTTCTGGAGAGGGATGGTAGTGATAATTGCATGATGCGGATATATGATAGGAGACCAGAATATGCCATCCCAAAATATGCCTCTTTGACATAAGGATTATTTTGAGCTGATTATTTTGAGAAACTGCAGACATGGGAGAAATTCTGAAAACCGAGTAGAAGTTACTCTTTGTAAGGGGAATTTACATCTATAAAGGAAATCTTTATTGTAAGGGTGTCCCAGAGACAGGTGATTTTAAATCACCAGACTCCCTTCATTGGACGAGGCATGGATTTAAACTGCATCACAAATCTTACCCTTGTTTACTGTACTTTTCCTGGGCCTCTTCTTTCTTTTTTTTTTCTTTCTGAGATGGAGTCTTGTTCTGTTGTGCAGGCTGGAGTGCAGTGTCACGATGATTTAGGCTCACTGCAGCCTCTGCCTCCTGAGATCAAGGGATTCTTCTGCCTCAGCCTCCAGATAGCGGGGGCTATGGGTGCATGCCACCATATCTGGCTTTTTTTTTTTTTTTTTTTTTTTTTTTTTTTTCAGTAAAGACAGGGTTTCACCATGTTGACCAGGCTGGTCTCGAACTCCTGAGCTCAAGTGATTTGCCTGCTTCAGCCTTCCAAAGTGCTGGGATTACAGGCATGAGCCATGGTGCCTGGCCAACATCTTCTTATAATGGGCCTTCCCCATATCCTTCTTTCTTTCTTTCAGTTGAGGATGGTATCTTAGGCCATCTCTTTGATATTCACTCATTTCTCTTCATATCTTCCATATATACAGGAAGTACACGTTCTTAAACTTTTGTTTGCTTTTCTCTTAATAATCTGTCTTTTTTCTCAGGAGTCGGCCTCAACTAAGAAATATTTCTCTCCTCTCCTGCAGTTCTTAATGCCACTGAACTGTACACTTAGCCAAGGTTAAAATGATAAAGTTTATGTTACGTATATATTTCTCCCTGTAATTTTTTAATATGAAAAAAATCATAATAGCTTTAGATAGTAGAATCAAGCTTAGAAATTGTGGAAATTAAGCTCATGGAAAAGTTTACAGAACAGATTTAGCTTTTGCAATTTTTTTTTGAAACTTCTTTTAAACAGACAATTTGCCAAACAAGATATACAGGTAACAAACGAGCACATGAAAAGACGCTCAGCACCCTTAGTCATGAAACTCTCAGAGGGCGCCGGGACATGCCGCTCACGATGGCTAAAATGAAAGAAGATTGACCTTACCAGCTGAGTACAAGGATGCAGCGCAAATGGGACTCTCGTGCATGACTGCTGAGAATGTAAAATGATACAGCCACTTTGGAAACTGGTTTGGCACTTTGTTGAGAAGTTAAACAACACTACCCGATGATCTAGCTGTGGCATTCCTAGATATTTACCCAGGAGAAACGGAAGCATGTGTTCCTACCGAGATGAACACAATGTCCATCAACAGGTAAGTGAAAAAAAACAAACTGTGGTATATGCATACAGCACCATGTCACTCAAAACAAACCAAAACAAAAAAACTGGCCAGGTGCAGTGCACACCGGTAATCCCAGCACTTTGGGAGGCCAAGGCGGGCAGATCACTTGAGGTCAGGATTTGAGACCAGCCTGGTCAACATGGTAAAACCCCATCTCTACTAAAAATACAAAAATTAGCTGGGTGTGGTGGCAGGCACCTGTAATCCCAGCGACTTGGGAGGCTGAGGTGTGAGAAGTGCTCGAACCCAGGAGGCAGAGGTTGCAGTGAGCTGAGATCGCACCACTGCATTTCAGCCTGGGTGACAGAGTGAAACTCTGTCTCAAAAACAAAACAAAACAGAAACAAAGAAAACTCCAACAAAAACCAGGTAAGCTGTGGTATATGCATACCGCACCATGCCACTTTTAATGATTAAAAAATGAACTGTTGCTTCTCTATGGATGAATCTCAAAATAATTATGCTGAATGAAAAAAGACAGGCAACAAAGAGAATATGCTGTGTGATTACCTTCAATGCAAACCAGTTTATGGCGACAGAGGGCCAATCAATTGTTGCCTGTGAAGGAGGGAGGGGAATGAAGGAGGAAGAGATTACCAACAGGCACAAGGACGTTTTGGGGGGGTGACAGATAAATTCATTATCTTGATTGTGGTGATTTTTTTTCATGGGTGTGTGCCTGTGTCACAGTGTGTAAAACTGTACGCTTATGTGCAGTTTACTGTATGTAAATTATGCATTAATAAATGTGCTAAAACCAAAATGAAAAAAATGTAAATGCACACACAGAAAGTGCAGTTAGGCTGGGCGTGGTAGCTCATGCCTATAATCTCAGCACTGTGGGAGGCTGAGGTGGGAGGATCTCTTGAGTCCAGAAGTTCAGTACCAGACCCATAAGATAGTGAGACATCGTCTCGACTAAAAATGAAAAAAAATTACACAGGTGTGGTGGTGTGTGGCTGTAGTCCCAGCTATTTGGGAGGTTGAGGCAGGAAGATTGCTTGAGCTCGGGAGATCATGGCTTCGGTGAGCCATGATTGTGCCATTGCATTCCAGCCTGGGTGACAGTGCATCACTCTGTCCCCAAAAAAACTTTAGAAAGCTTTTAAAAAAAGCTTTTAGAAAGCCAGTCTGGCTGTTAGGAAGTGAGCTGGAGGAAAAGTAGGGCACAGGTAGGAACCGGAGGGTCTGGGTCAGGATCAGTGAGGACGTCACTGGTCGGGGAGCGGCTGGAGTCCACAGCTGCATGGGTGTGGTGTGTTCCTGTGCCAGCCACTCCCTCCATCTTTTCAAGACCCCAGAGAGTAGGAAATCTGACCCCAGCTTTACAGAGAGGACGGTGACTAGGAGCAGTGAAGTTACTTGCTCAAGGGCACACAGCTGCTGGAGAGCTAGGGTTTGCAGTCCTGTGGGTTGGGAGTCCAAAGCCCATTCTTGTAGGGTCCAGCCCTACAGGGTCCCGTGAGTCCCTCTGTGCTGGTGTGGAGACGAGGAACTGTGGAAATAAAAGACACAAGACACAAAGAGAAAGCAGAGTCTGGGCCCAGGGGTCCACTGCCCACCGAAGCACAAGTCCAGCCGTGGCCCTGAGTGCCTGACATTGAGTACGAAGCAGGGAAGGGCCGGTAGGATGAGGTCATGGTGGTCAGTGATAGGGTCAGGTAAATCACATGTCTTGGAGATAGGGGGGCCAAGACTTTGAAGAAGCTCAGGGGAGGAAAAAAACCTCAGGAGTCAGCATTTTTTTCATACTTGTCAAGAAATAGCAAGGTCACTACGATTTATGTTACTATAACTAATTCTTATCTTCTACGGAAAGAGGAACCAGGTGCAGAAGCAGGACTTGAAAGTAGCCATGGAACGTGACCGCTGAAGCGCAGCGCCACATGGAGACAATTAAGTCCCCGGATGTCTGTGGGCCTCCCTGACAGCCATCAGGCCCCCCACAAGAGCTTGGAGAACTGGAGTTTTCTCCTCAGTCCTCCGGGGAAGGAGACGTCTGGGCCATCTTGGATGTCTCCTTCCCTGGCTGGCTAAACAGCAGGAGCTTTCTCAGTGCTGATACTGCCGCACAGCCAAGGCGTCCTCCAGCAGCCCTTATGCGGCCGTGACAGAGGACTTAGAGCATCTTGCCTTAGGGTCACCTCTTTTTCAATGCCACTGCAGTCCCATACTTCTTGACCTGAGACTTACTAGTAAGATTAAACATTAGATGATTATACAGATGTATTTATGATTACATATGAGTAGCTATGTGATTATTTATGATTTTGTATACAGGAATAACTATGTAACTGTATCTCTTAATTCTTTTCTAATTCTATCTTTATTTGAGAACATGCTGAGGCTTCGGACTGATGCCTAGGCTCTTGCGGGGTTCCCCCCCACCACATGCTCACAAGCGCCTCTCTAATGTAGACAAAAGCTATTGAGGAAGCCTCTCCCTTGTCTTGCTGTCTGAAATTGCTCACCCTCATTGGTGGTTTGTTGCATGACCGTCTTTCCTTGGGAGGAGGCAGGGTGCCATGGGAATATTAACGTCATCTAGGCAGTCAGGAAGGGAAGGCTTCCTGGAGGAAGGGACATTCCAGCTGAGCCGCAAAGAATGCGCAGGAAGGGGAGGAGTTCGGAAATGAGCAAAGTTAAGGGTGGTTATGAGAAAAGGGAGAACGTGTTCTAGCGGGTGGGATGTGACTGCCTGGAAATAAAACAGGGCAGGGCCTGCTTGAAAATCTGAGCTTCGGCATTGCTGGGTGGTGGCGTGAGATGCGGAGAGAGGCACCAGAGGCTAATGTTTGTTCTCTGTGTGGCAGCTTAGAGAACAGAGTGGATGGGAGGGAGGCCAGGTGAGATCCTGCCTGCCAGGCAGCTGCCTATTGTGGTTACCATGGAAACGTTAGACTGCAGACCCAGCAGCCTCTAGTCCAGCCTCTCTTATTAAGGATGACAAGACTAAGAACCAGACAGAGGAAGAGATTTGCTCTTTCCTGCTGGCAGCCTGGAAACCTCTGTCAGAAAATATTGCAGTAAAATACACATGAGATTAAAGTCACTTTTTACTTTGCAATCATTTTTATTTAGTATTATTATTATTTTAGACACAGTCTCTGTCTATTGCCCAGGCTCAATGTGATCTTGGCTCACTGCAACCTCCGCCTCCCAGGCTCAAGTGATCCTCCCTCCTCAGAATCCCGAGTAGCTGGGATCACAGGCACACACCACCTTGTCTGGCTAGCTTTTGTTTTTTTTGTTTTTTTGTAGAGACAAAGTATCACCATGTCGCCCAGGTAGGTCTCAAACTCCTGGGCTCAAGCGATCCTCCCACCTCAGTCTTCCAAAGTGCTGGAATTACAGGTATGAGCCACTATGCCTGGCTAACCATTTTTAACCATCTTTGGAACTCCTCTCCTCATTCTAAACTGAAACTCTGTCCCTATTAAATAATTCCCACCTCCCCTCCCCCCAGCTCTAGCAATCACCAACCGTCATTTTTACCTTCTTCTTCTTCCTCCTCCTCCTCTTTTTCTTCTTTTTTCCTCTTCCTCCTCCCCCTCCTTCTCCTCCTTCTCCTCTTCTTCCTCTTTGACAGAGAGAGAGAGAGAGAGAGGAGAATTTGCTGTGTCGCCCAGCCTGGAGTGTAATGGTGTAATTACAGCTCATTGCAACCTTGAATACCTGGGCTCAAGCAATCTTCCCACCTCAGCCGACCGAGTAGCTAAGACTACAGGTGTGTGTCACCACGCATGGCTAATTTTTAAATTTTTTTGTGGAGACAAGGTCTTACTGTGTTGCCCAGGCTGGTCTCAAAATTCTGGCATCAGGTGATCCTCCAACTTTGGTCTCCAAAGTTCTGGGGTTACAGATGTGAGCCACCACGACTGGCATCTACTTTCTGCCTCTATGAATTTGACTCCTCTAGGGCCCTCATGTAAGTAGAATCACATGATACTCATCCTCTTATGTCTGGCTGACTTCACTTAGCATAATATCCTCCAAGTTCACCCATGTTGTGTCATGGGTCAGAATTTCCTCCTTTTTTAAAGGCCAAATATTATTCCATTGGGTGAGTAGACGATATTCTGTTTATCCATTCATCTGTTGATGGACCCAGGGTTGCTTTTGCCTTTTGGCTATTGTGAAGGAGGCTTCTAAAAACATGGGTGTCTTGGAAACCTTCTTCATAAACATCAATTATTGGCACTTAGTGAAGAACAAAGGCTTTTGTTAAGTTTTAAATACAAGGAAAAGAGAAAAGAGAAGAATGATACATTTCTCCCTGAAAGTCGACCAGAAGCAGCCTTTGTGCCTAAATGCTTTCAGGACTCAACTGAAGCCGGGCTGTCCCTGGGTCTTGTTCTGAATACTGTATGTTTAGACTACACACGAGTCCAACTTTAGTTCCTGTGGCACATGTTAGCAGAGCAGCTTTCTTCTATCAGGCAGATTTGCCTTGGGATTTGCTCTCCTGGGGGACTCTCTGGGCTTCTAGGAAAACTGACAAAAGGCCAGCTGGTCTGTTCTACCATTTACAGGAATGTAGGCTCCACGACGGCAGAGGTACCTGTCTCTTTTCTTAACCAGTGAATCGCCAGCACCTAGAACACTGGCTGGTACTCGAAGAAGAATTTGTCAGGCAGGGCGTGGTGGCTCATGCCTGTAATCCCATCACTTTGGAACACCTAGGTGGGAGGATCACTTGAACCCAGGAGTTCAAGATCAGCCTGGTGACACATTGAGACCTCACCTCTACACAAAACAAAAAATTAGCCAGTGATAGTGGCATGGGCCTGCAATTCCAGCTACTAGGAAGGCAGAGGTGGGAGGATCGCTTCAGCCCAGGAGTTGAGATTACAGTGACCCATGGTCATGCCACTGCACTCCAGCCTGGGTGACAGAGCAAGACTTTGTTTAAAAAAAAAAAAGAAAAGAATTTGTCAAATGAATGACTGACTGACTGACTGGACCCTCCATGGGGTCCAAGACAAATCTCCACAGCCCAGGAAAGGAAGGACTCCAGGGAGAGTCCAGTTAGTCATTCATTCATTTGAGGAATTCTTTTTATTTATTTATTTTTTTGAGACCAAGTCTTGCTCTGTCGCCCGGGCTGGAGGGCAAGGGCGTGATTACAGCTCACGGAGGACGTGATCCCACACTTACCCAGGCTCTAATTCTAGCGTGACTCTGTGTTTTCTCATCACTCAGCTGGTAGAAATGACACCAGCTTGAGCCACCCTCACCAGGTGTCATGAACAGGAGCATCCAGGGGACGGTATAAATAAAAGTGTTGTCCCAATGGATGTCGTGATTGTCCCTTGCTGTGACCTCTCCTCCCAGCACCAGCCTTGCGTCTACCAGTAACCTCCCACCTTTGGGCACCTCTCAAAACTCAGAACTTCTCTGTCTTCTCTCTCTGTGGCCTCCCCTTTCCTGCCCCAAGTCTGGCTGCTTCTTTCCTTTCACTGCCCTCATTTCTTCGGCCATCACCTCTAGTCAGGAATGCCTCCCCACTGTGTGACCATTGTCAAAACCGTGACCATCTTCTGCCTCTGGACTTTTCTGCCCCATCTCACCAATGCTGCCAGAGACATCCCCCAAAGTGCAGCTCTGACCTCATGCCCCTAATTTAAACGTAACCGAGGGGTTGGGCGCAGTGGCTCAAGACTGTAATCCCAACACTATGAGAGGCCAAAACAGGCAGATCACCAGAGGTCAAGCGTTCGAGATCAGCCTGGCCCACACAGCGAACCCCTGACTGTACTAAAAATACAAAAATACAAGCTGAGCATGGTGGTGCATGCCTGTAATCCCTACTTGGGAGGCTGAGGCAGGAGAATCACTTGAACACTGGAGGTGGAGGCTGCAGTGAGTCAAGATCATGCCACTGCACTCTAACCTGGGTGACAGAGCAAGACTTAGTCTTTAAAAAAAAGTGACTCTTGGTGAACCGACTGCACATAACCTCCTCCCTGGCTTTCCAGGGCCTTCCACCCATGGTGTCTCTGACTTGATTCTGCCCATTGGCCCCCGCGTCTCCTCCCTCCAGCCGCAGCGGCACCTGCCTCTCCTGAGCGTGTGCTGAGTATCTGCCTCCCTGCCTGTGCACACCGTCCTCCTCTGGCTGCAACATCAATTCTCTCTCTCTCCTCCCTGCTCTGCTGAGATCCTTCAAGGGCCAGGCATGGTGGCTCACACCTATAATCCCGGCACTTTGGGAGGCCGAGGCGGGCGGATCATGAGGTCAACAGATCGAGACCATCCTGGCCAACATGGTGAAACCCCCTCTCTACTAAAATGCAGAAAATTAGCTGGGCGTGGTGGTGGGTGCCTGTAGTCCCAGCTACTTGGAAGGCTGAGGCAGGAGAATCACTTGAACCTGGGAGGCAGAGGTTTCAGTGAGCAGAGATCACACCACTGCACTCCAGCCTGGGTGAGAGAGACAGGCTTCAATCTCAAACAAAAACAATGCAGCTCAAATGCCCCACTGTGCTTTTTCTATGCTTAATCCACAGTCCTCTCACCATACACACCACCACATACCACATCGACTCAGAGTGTTTGTTTGCATTCCTTCCTTGGCTTCCCCACTAGACTGAATTCCTGAGGGTGGGGAGGATGTGTCTTGTTTCCACTGCCAGCACCGTCCGTCCGGTCCAACCGGCAAGAAGTGGTTGCTGATTTTGGGAGACTCCTTGCTCTCCTTCCTTCTTTGCCCGGGGCTTGGGTGCTGACCTTATCAAAGGGCAGCCTGGGGTTATTCTTGTCATAACCAGCACATAGCTGGTTATGCACACAGCACATCGCCCGGTTCCTGGCTTGGAGGGAGAGCGCTCACGTTTGATGGTTACAACAATGGATAGGAACCCATAGCCAGTGGCTTTGATGCCTCTGTGCCTGATGGGGAAGCTGAGAAGGAACTGACAGAGCTCTTCTTTCTCTGGGTCACTAGTGTCCCGCGGCTTCAGCATTTCTTTGTGCTGGAGCAAGTGCAGTTGCCAGGACCACAGAGGAAGGGGATGGAGGAATGGCCTCAGCTGTCTCGGAGGATGGCAGTTGTTGCCCGCAGTGCCATTGGCCAAAGACCTTTTCAATTACACCAGACGAATTGGCTGTAGGCAGCCTCAGCTTCCTGTCACCACGGACTCTGTTTAATGTCTCAGCTGGACTTGGCTACATCGGAGATTGCAGGGAATATGGCTGGTCCACTTGGGTGGCTTTGCACATGGCCATCCTGTGCGTATGCCCTTCTGCCAGCCTGGCGGCCTCTCCCTTCGTCTGCCTTGTCCTTGGAAATGCATCAGCAGGGGGAGCTGGATCTGTCCTAAACCTGACGGAAAGCAGACGTCCCTGCACGCAGAGGAGCAAGCTGCCTCGCTGGGTTTTTCTGGAATAGCTCAGATGGCTGTTATTTTATTCATTGGAATGGAGATGAATTGCTAAATGTACCAGTTAAATGTGATTTAAATTGTATATCGTTGTCAAGTTTTTCACATAAATTCACTAATTAAAAAAAAAATTCTTTGCACAGACATTTGCCTTGATTTTTGTGTTCCGTGAGCTGGAGAGACAAATGTTTTAGCTAGGAAGACCATTTTCTGTTTCTAAACTACATGAGGGATTGCCTTTAAGACATTAGACATTAAGACACTAGAAGGCTAAAAGTCAGCCTGTTTGAGGGCAGCCTTAAGGCATCCTCAAGGTCCTCGTTGAAGGACTGTTAGATCCACATATAACCATTTATTTTTTAAAGGCAGGGTCTTGCTGTGTTGCCCAGGCTGGAGTACAGTGGTGTGATCATAGTTGACTTCAGCGTTGAGGTCCTGCGCCCAAGGTATCCTCCTGCCTTAGCCTTTGCAGTGCCTGGGACCACAGGTATGTGCCACCATGTCTGGCGAACTCCCATATAACCACTTCTTACCTTCCAGCTTGCCAGCACCCCGACTGTCCCCGTTTCCCATCCTCGGTTCCCACGTTGAACTGAGACTTTTGTATTCCTCATGTTGTTTTATTTTCTGCATTTCCTGACGATTTGGGATCTGGGGCCTTGCTGGTCTTGAAGAGACCACCCCTCGCAGGGCCCGCTAATTCCTAGAGATGGTAACCGCTTGTCTCCAAGTGTGCCTTCCATAGGGAACCCAGCCAATCCTAGGTCCACACCCCCACCTGCCTCTATGACAGAGGATGACACTCCAGGTCTCCGCCCTAACCACCCTTCGGCCGGGTACTGGGAAAACGAGGGGCAGCTCCTATGCTGCCTAGTCCACGGCCAGTCCTCAGCCTGCGCGCCCTGCCCGGCCTGGCCATTCCACGAAACCACGACGAAGGCTCTTGCGCGAGCTCCCCGCCTCCTCGCCCCCTTGGCCTCCTGCCCCGCCCCGGTGCCTCCCCACGTGGCCACGCGTGGTGCGCCGCACTTCCTGCTTCCAGGGGTCTGTGAGTATAAAAAACAACTTCTTTCCTGCCAGATTTTCATGTTTGCCTGTTTCCTTATACCTGGTTAAAACAAATCCTGGGTGTCATTTGCAATACCTTTGGGCCTCTGCTCAGCTCGAATCTTGGTAAGGCTCGGTCAAACGCGTAACGGGGCTTGGCTTCTTGTCCTGTTATGGCTTCGTGGCCCTGACTCTTTAGCCGGAAAGTGAAGCTATCATCTAGTGAATGAAAAAAGAGGTCCCGATTCAGACCCCAGGGGAGGGTTTTCAGGTTTTACATAGGGAGGAATTCAAGGCAAGTTGCAGAATGCAGTGAAAGAAGCATGTTTATTAGAAACTCCACTGCCGAGCAGGGTGTCTGTCCTCAGAGAGCAAGTGGAAGCACGCAGCGTCTTTTAACTTTTTCTCGTGGAGGGGTCTTGTCTAAGTAAAGACTTAAACTAAGCTGTGTTTAGGTGCAGATGGGCAGACAGCATGACCATTATTCCACTGATTTACAGAAAACTACCCTTGACATTTTAGAGTGTAAGTACACCAAAGCGTAACTATAATTACCTTAAAAGCACATATCGGGGTCAGACATGGTGGCTCACGCCTGTAATCCCAACACTTTGGGAGGCCTAGGTGGGTGGATCATGAGGTTAGGAGATCGAGACCATCCCGGCTAACACCATGAAACCCCATCTCTCTAAAAACACAAAAAAAAATTAGGCCGGGCGCGGTGGCTCAAGCCTGTAATCCCAGCACTTTGGGAGGCCGAGACGGGTGGATCACGAGGTCGAGAGTTCGAGACCATCCTGGTTGACATGGTGAAACCCCGTCTCTACTAAAAATACAAAAAACTAGCTGGGCGTGGTGGCGCGTGCCTGTAATCCCAGCTACTCAGGAGGCTGAGGCAGGAGAATTGCCTGAGCCCAGGAGGCGGAGGTTGCGGTGAGCCGAGATCGCGCCATTGCACTCCAGCCTGGGTAACAAGAGCGACACTCCGTCTCAAAAAAAAAAAAAAGAAAAAGAAAAAAAAATTTAGCTGGGCGTGGTGGCACATTCTTGAGAGGCTGAGGCAGGAGAATTGCTTGAACCCGGGAGGCAGAGGTTATAATGAGCTGAGATCATGCCACTGCATTCCAGCCTGGGCAACAGAGTGAGTCTCCATCTCAGAAAAAACAAACAAACAAAAACCACATGTTGCTATGAGTACTCGGGCATCTGGACATGTGTCACTGTAGGGCTGTGGCCTCACAGGTGTCTAAATTGTTCTGCTCACTTGTAAACATGACCATGTGACTGGCAAGGATGTGCCTGGTTAGTTTTAAGATGGAGTCGATTATAGAATGTATCCCTCTGACTCTCCTCGACCCCTGCTTTGCTCGCGTCCTGAGTCTGAAGGCTCTCTTTGTTCATTCCTCTCTGTCCAACTGTCAAACCAGACACAACAAGCAGAGATGAATGCATGCTTGAAAGAGAGATTCACCTTTATTGTATAATTTGAGTTGGCCTAGGTATTCTGTACAGCCCCAGATAAGCTGCACTCGGATGCCTGAAAACTTCCCACAACCAAATCCCTTTTCCTTGAGTATGACCCTCTTCTTTTTTTTGGGGGGGGGGGGACAGGGTTTCGCCCTATTGCCCAGGCTGCAGTGCAGTGGTGCAATCTCGACTCACTGCAACCTCTGCCTCCCAGGCTCAAGCGATTCTCCTGCCTCAGCCTCCTCAGTAGCTGGGATTACAGGTGCACACCACCAAGCCCAGCTAATTTTTGTGTGTTTTTTGTTCTTGTTGTTGTTTTTTTTTTTTTTTTGAGACGGAGTTTCGCTCTTGTTACCCAGGCTGGAGTGCAATGGCGCGATCTTGGCTCACCGCAACCTCCGCCTCCTGGGCTCAGGCAATTCTCCTGCCTCAGCCTCCTAAGTAGCTGGGATTACAGGCACGCGCCACCATGCCCAGCTAGTTTTTTTTTTTTTTTGTATTTTTAGTAGAGACGGGGTTTCACCATGTTGACCAGGATGGTCTCGATCTCTTGACCTCGTGATCCACCCGCCTCGGCCTCCCAAAGTGCTGGGATTACAGGCTTGAGCCACCGCGCCCGGCCAATTTTTGTGTTTTTAGTAGAGATGGGGTTTCACCATGTTGGCCAGGCCCATCTTGAACTCCTGGCCTAAAGTGATCTGCCTGCCTCGGTTTCCCAAAATGAACCTCTTCTTTTCCCCTTATAATAACAGAATAGAGATTGGATCAAAATGGCAACCAGGACATGTGCCTGTTTCTCCTCCCACCCCAAATTTTATAAAATGAAAGAAAACATATCTTTAATAAGGAAGCCCTGCAAGCTCAAAGTCATTAGTTCCCCACCACCCAGACTAAGCGTATTCAGAGGAATAATGTATATTCTGATTAGCACTAGGTTTTGACAGATAAAAATGAATTTAAAGGATATCAGCAAGAAAAAAATAGAATCATAATGTAGAATTTCCAAATCATTAGGAAAAAAACTACAATCCATCAGTTGGAAAGAAATATCGAATAAGAAAGCATGGTAAAAATAAATTAGAAGGCCGGGCCCGGTGGCTCAGGCCTGTAATCCCAGCACTTTGAGAGGCCAATGCAGGTGGATCACGAGGTCAAGAGATCGAGACCATTCTGGTCAACATGGTGAAACCCCGTCTCTACTAAAAATAGAAAAAATTAGCTGGGCATGATGGCACGTGCCTGTAATCCCAGCTACTCAGGAGGCTGAGGCAGGAGAATTGCCTGAACCCAGGAGGCGGAGGTTGCGGTGAGCCGAGATTGTGCCATTGCACTCCAGCCTGGGTAATAAGAGCGAAACTCCATCTCAAAAATAAATAAATAAATAAATAAATAAGAAATAAATAAATAAAATAAAATGGGTTTAAAGGTTCTATTAAATGTCCCTCAGATTGGGTTAAGGAAAAAAAAAAAACCCTCAAATCCAAGAATACACAGTATATAGGAGATCTTCCTGAACTAAAATGTTATAGGAGAGTTAAGGATCAACTCAACTCCTGGCCAAAAATGTGACACCCCATCTTTACTAAAAATGGAAAAAAATTAAGGGTGTGGTGGCAAGTGCCTATAATCCCAGCTACCAGGGAAGCCAATGCAGGACAATCGCTTGAACCCAGGAGGCAGAGGTTGCAGTGAGCCGAGACTGTGCCAGTGTACTCCAGCCTGGGCGACAGAATGAGACCCTTTCTAGAAAAAAAAAAGATTCTATGATTTATACATGTATTGAAACATCACATTTTATTTCATAAACATATACAATTACTATTTATCAATCGAACATAAAAAACTAAAAAATTTGAAAAAGATGTTTTAAACAAAAATAAAATGAATGTAGAGCATTATTTATATCAGAAAAAAATATAATTCAAAGGGAAATTATCATAAGAATGCTGATTCTTAGTTATAAAAGTGACAATTCACCAAGGATTTATAATATAGTCATGCATTGCTTAAGAAAGGGGGTTCATTCTGAGAAATGAGTTAGGTGATTTTGTCATGCAAACATCATGGCATGTACTTACAAAAATCTATGTGGTGTAGCCTACTTCACATCTAGGTCAAATGGTATGGCTTATTGCTCCTAGGCTACAAACCCATACAGCATGTTACTATACTGAATACTTCAGGCAATCGTAACACAATGGTATTTTTGTATTTGAACCTGTCTAAACACAAAAGCATTGTGCTGCAACATTATGATGGCTATGTCGCTCAACTGTAGAAATTTTTAGCTTCATTATATTATCCATTATAATCTCATGAGACCTGCTCTGTGTATGCAGTCTGTTATTGACCAGAATGTCTGTATGTGGTGCTTGACTGTAGTTACAAATCTCTGTGTACCTAATAACAGTTTCAAAACAATAAGGCATAAACAATAAATAATACATGTTCAAAGAGAAATGTATGAATCCATAATCATGGTGGGAGAGTTTAAAAATTCCCCTCTCTCAGATATTGACAAATAAACAGAATTTAAGTGAGAATATGTAGAGTTCAAATGAATTAACACATTTTACAAATAACTCTATGTAGAATTTTATAGCCCCCAAAATAAACTACATTATTGTTGA